TTCCACTAAAATCCATCAGAACGAACATTTGCACGAAAATCAAAGCGAACGAAAACGTGAGCGTTTCAGTGTAATTTTTGCGTTCCACTATCTTTTTTCTTTCGTACGCATGCGAACACAAATGTCAAAATCAGTCACTTGTGTGTTTGCTGTCGTATGATAACAATTAAGGAAAATTGTTTTAACATAAACATTGCTTGATTGAAAATGGAAACAAAAATGTAAGTAAAAATAATAAATGCAATTTAATATGTGAACAACAAATATATTTTTTTTATTTTCTCAATTATTTTCGGCTGCGGGCACTAGTTGAGTATATGGAGGAGAATCCTGAGTTCGCCAGAGGAGTGCCAATTTTTGGAAGCAGCATCATATCCATCACATCCAAAAGAGCCCGGAAAACTTCCTTCGACACACGAAAATTGGCCACAAACCTAGAAAAAATCATTTTTTATTTTTTCAAAAATGTTAAAATACAATCATACTTACTGGTTGTTAGGTACTTCAAATAAATTCGAAGCATCTCTTAAATGCCTCCGTGGCACATTTTGAACCTCCTCTACATCATCCATAAAAAATAGGGCTACAGAAATATTCATTTTTTTATTTTTTAAGAACACAAAAAGTTTGAACACAATCACTAGAAATTTTACTTTGTTTATTTACAATTTGTTTGTTTACAACTGAACTGTCTGTTGAGACAGAGACACTGCTGCTTTTTCGCGTTTAAATTAGACATTTGGCGCTTTTTTTGCCTTATTTCGCGATTCATTTTTCCAAAAAATATTTAGCAACACTAAATCACGTAAGGCTATGCGAAAGAAAGAACGAAAGTTAGTGGAACGCAATCTTAGACGAAAGTGAGTGAGTAGCCTTCGTTCGCACAAATTTTCTTTCGAGATCGTGGAACAGGCTGTGAAATAATTTCAAATTATTTTCTTTTTAATTCAAAACAATACACACACATATACAAACTATGTATATGTTTTTATAGAATAGGGGCATCAAAAGAAACCAATTGTATTTGGGAGTAGCTTTGTTACAACCATGGTAGAATCAAGGAGGTAAAGTCATGCAATCATATGTTTACAATTTTTTCAAAAATTATTTATTTGACAACATCTTATTGTCAAAATTTGTAATTATATATCCATTATATGTAGTGAAATGTGACAAGGTAAATTACAAAAAATGCAGAGATGGGAATGCTTTTTTGAAATGACTTTACCTTCTTAATTTTACCATGGTAACAACATTCAAATACGAATATAAAAAAATGGTGCATAATGTAGCTAAATTTATCAAAATACCGAATATAAGGAGGTATAGGTTATATATACGACAAATACGAAATTTCAAACAATTTCGGTGAATATTGGGAAGTACTGATATATGGGGCCTATACGAAGACCTGAACCTGCATAGACAATTTTCTGTAGTACCCATTACGATATTCAGTACCGTTATATGGGGGCTATACGATATCGTAGCCCGATATAGCCCATCTTCGAACTTAACCTGCCTTCAGACAAAAGATTGATCTGTGCAAAATTTTAGCCTTCTATCTTCATTCGTTTTGACTCTAAAGTGATTATAACAGACGAACGGACAGGGCTAAATCGTCTTAGAATTTCTACGCTGATGAAGAATATATATACTTTGTTATGTCTAAAATTATTATTTCGATGAGTTACCAAAGGAATTACGAAGTTAATATACCCTCCATTCCAAAAATGGTTACTTAACTACCGTCCTTCCAAGTTTCTTCTATTTTGTCTAATGGTTAACATGGATTCTGGAAAAGCAGCCGGCGATAACAAATTTGCTTGTAGTAGCTTTTATTTCTGTTGCAATTCAGTGTCTAATTTATATAAATTTGAAACTTTTCCGCATTATAATTATGTTCACATTAGTTGTGTTCCAGTACTTTTTAAGTAGTAAAACTAGCAGAAGGAAGAACAGCACGAAATGCCATTCTCAATTAGGTGTGCTCAAAAAATAAGGGAACGGCAAATAAGCAGAAATTCGATAAAATGTCAACATTCAAAATTCCAAAAAAAAAAAAAAAACAGTCTAAATAGGACTGGTGAAACCTTACTGAAATGGACGCCAAAATTTAAAAAAATGAGTATTGAAAATAACTTAAAATTAATAATTATTTTTGAATGCTGTTTATTTAGAAAGTTTTGTTTTCAGAATGCGTTGAAGAGTATTTAGAGGTGGAGTTTTTTCAAGTCCCAACCCCGGAGAAGCTGACATGGTTGGAGCCGCCGGTTTAAATAATGTGTGCTAGAAGACTTAATGCCACAAGTTGGGAAGACAGCCAACCTAAAAAATAAAAAGAAAATGTTCGCAGTATTAAGCGAACATCTTTGATTTTAAGCTCAATTTTTTAATTTACATTTCACTAATTTTGCACTGTTTTCCAATACGTTTTCTTCGTCTGATTCCTCATTCAGCCAGTCCTCTTCACTCCTGGAATCATCCAAAAGTGAATACATCAGTTTGCTCCATATTTTCTCTTTTTGTTTTTTGCACGACAAATATTACTTTTTCTTTAGTTTTTATGTTTATCTCTTTTCTTTATATTTGTTGTCCCGCGCGAACATTGAAATTTATCAATAAATTTTTCAACCTTGTTAGCCCTGCCAATTAAATGTCAAATTTACAATTTGCACATTTCTGCTCGGCCAAATTCATGTAGCTAAAAAAAAAGCAGAAATTTGCACCACTCAGCGCCATTTTTTCTCGAGAGAGCTGAAAGTTTTGCTAGTTTTGGAGTTGTAGCAGAATTAGCACTAATTAGTACTAATTTGTAGGTTCTGGAACAAAACTATTTTTTGTATTATTAATTTCTATTTTCAACAAAAGAAAATATTGAATGCCAATTGTTCCACTTTGAAATCTCGTACGCTCGATGTATTTTGTGTAAAATTCATATAAATACATGTGTTTTATTTGTGTGGTGAAAAACGTCGAGCGAGTACCTCGAATTTTTGGTAACAATTGTATGCTCTGTTCCAATACCTGCAAGAATCTACTCTTATTGCAATTTTTTTCGATATCATAAAGGAAAATCGGTTATCGAAGTAAAAACTTGTACATTCTTGCAGTTCTGGAACAGAACAGTAGTTTTGTTCCAGATTGTGCAAGAACCTACTATTTTTACCATTTTTGACATTTGTTACTCAAATCCTGTTCCCTTCCACCAAAATGTAGTAAAATTTGACGTAAATTTTAAGAGAATTTCAAATAAAATTGTCTATTCTTTTATTATTTTTTATCGACAAATTTGTCCGAGTAAAAAGTTCAAAATCTTTTAAAAAAATATATATTTGGCATTTATCTGACAGCAGAAGAAACAAAAAACATGAAGGAAAAACTCACAAGAACTCCAGCAATGGCGAGGACTGGTTGTTTACGGAACCTGACGTTGCGATGGATGAAATTCTTGTAAAGTCTGTTCAAGGTAAGCTTAAGAAATTGTTAGATCGAACATGACGCCTAATCTTTTTCAATATACTTATGTATATTGAATTTCTTCCTCTGGTCGCAACAATTTTTAATTTAATTCCAATTATTAGTATTTTTAAGATTCCGGTTTTATATAAGGCCTTCAAAACAATTGTATCTTTATGATTTTTTGACGTTTTATTACAGGTAACACAATTCCATATTATACTATATACTGAATATAATGAAATCATATTCAGAATGCCATTTCGAATTTCCAGAAACCTTTTTTCAAAATTTGAGCCTTACATTTTTTGTGTGAGATTTTTAGTACCCTACGTAAGGATAAAACAAAGACCTAAAATGGTAAAGACTAGACAAAATGCATTTTGAGCAAATGGTTTGTGTCTACAATACGTAGAGTAACAGCTCATGGCAGAGACATGTTAATATAAAAACCACTATTACAGAAACGGATATCAAATAAAAATTTGAAAAATCCAAAATTTTGGTTTCAAAATTGTATTCCATGGACCTTTCCGAAAAATTGCACATTGCTTTGGCGGTTTAAATCAGTTAACATTTGTAATTATGTTGTTATGATATCGTAACAACAGAGGTATTTTCACAGGGTTACCATATCTTGACTCTGTCTTGTCCTATCTTTACACTTCTATGTCTTTGGATAAAACAAAGACATAGAAGTATAAAGATAGGACAAGACAGAGTAAAATATGGCAACCCTGTGAAAAATACCTCTGTTGTTATGATATCGTAACAACATAGTTACCAATGTTAAGCAATTTAAACCGCTAAAGCAGTATGCAAATATTGGGGAAGGTATATGGAATAAAATTTTGAAACCAATATTTTGGATTATCCAAACTTTTATTTGTCATTCTTTCCCATAATTGTGTTTTTTATATTAACATGCCTTAGCCATATGCTGTTATTCAAAGTAGTATAGCCACAAACCATTTGCTGAGAATGCATTTTGTCTAGTCTTTACCATTTTAGGTCTTTGGATAAAACAAAGACCTAAAATTGTAAAGATTGGACAAAATGCATTTAAGCAAAAGGTTTGTGTCTACAATACAGACAGCTCATGGCAGAGGCATGTTAATATAAAAACCACAATCACAGAAACGAGTAACAAATAAAAGTTTGAAAAATCCAAAATTTTGGTTTCAAAATTCTATTCTATATGCCTTTCCAACAATTTGCATATTGCCTTAGGGGTTTAAATCAGTTAACATTGGTAACTACATTAGTTGTGTTCCAGTACTTTTTTAGTAGTAAAACTAGCAGAAGAGAGAACAGCACGAAATGCCATTCTCAATTAGGTGTGCTCAAAAAATAAGGGAACGGAAAATAAGCAGAAATTCGATAAAATGTCAATATTCAAATTTCCAAAAGAAAACTGTCTAAATCGGACTGGTAAAACCTCACTGAAATGGACGCCAACATTTAAAAAAAATGAGTATTGAAAATAATTTAATATTAATAATTATTTTTGAATGCTGTTTATTTAAAATGTTTTGTTTTCAGAATGCGTTGAAGAGTATTTAGAGGTGGAGTTTTCTCAAATCCCAACCCCGGAGAAGCTGACATGGTTGGAGGCGCCGGTTAAATTAATGTCAAGTCTGCTAGAAGACTTAATGCCACAAGTTGGGAAGACAGCCAACCTAAAAAATAAAAAGAGAATGTACGCAGTAATAAGCAAATTTCTTTGATTTTAAGCTTAATTTTTCAATTTACCTTTCACTAATTTTGCACTGTTTTCCAATACGTTTTCTTCTTCATTCAGCCAGTCCTCTTCACTACTGAAATCATCCAAAAATGTCATCATTGCTCCATATTTTATCTTTTTGTTTTTTCTTTATATTTGTTGTCCCGCGCGAACATTGAAATTTATCAATACATTTTTCAACCTTGTTAGCCCTGCCAATTAAATGTCAAATTTACAATTTGCACATTTCTGCTCGGCCAAATTCATGTAGCTAAAACAAGCAGAAATGTGCACCACTCAGCGCCATTTTTTTCTCGAGAGAGCTGCAAGTTTTGCGGGAACGCGTTGTAGCAGAATTAGCACTAATTAGTACTAATTTGTAGGTTCTGGAACACAACTATTGTTATGATATCGTAACAACCCACGTATTTTCACAGGGTTGCCATATTTTGACTCTGTCTTGTCCTATCTTTACACTTTTATGCCTTTGGATAAAATATTGTCTTCTGACGACTATCTAGCCATTTTTTTTTTTTTTTTGTTGATTTGCGGAAGACGAGGCCTGCAGCTTTAGAGATTTGCCAGACAAAGTCATTACGACCATTTCAACAGTTAGTCATGTTATTTCGAGGATTACACAATTTTTAAGCTCTCTTAGCCCGCAGGTCATTAAAAGGCATACAGAAGAAGAAAAATCTGCTTCAAACTATTTTTTTAATTAAGTGTGGATTTATCGGAGCAATTGGTGAGTTCCATAATAAATATTAATTCCTTATATAATATGTACGTACTTTTTAATTTTTAATAGGATGTATAGAGGATACACATGTTGTCATAATCCCTCCCATGAACTCAAGAAATGATTGCGTTGATCGAAAAGGGCATTTTTCAATTCAACTGAAGGATACCTGGAATGATAAAAGAAAATGTATAAATATTTGTTTGATGCCCTGGATCCTCACATGAGAGTTGGGTATTTCTGAATTCGTCAATTTGTCAAAATCTGGAAAATACATTTGGGTGCTGGATGTTTTGATTCCCTTTTAGTATGCTCTCAGCCTTATATCAATTATAAATCAAGATGTTAGTGATGTGAAGGTTCCGTTTCAGGACATTTGGAGTCAGTTTTTTCATTCCGTCCGCCTGGCTAGCTATTGCACTCTATCTTTTTAATATCTTTTTAAATCCAGATCGAGTTCGAAGATTGGCAGGATCGGTCAAAGATGTGTACAGATTATTACATCCTGGGAGATGATGCGTATCCCTGCAGAAGACACTTAATAACGCCTTATAGGGACAATGGCTATCTCACTTATTCGAAAAAACAATTTGATTCAAAGCTAAGCTCAGGTCATGTTCTTATTTAACACACTTTTGGCATATTAAAGCTACGTTTCCGACAACTTTATTACTGCAAGCTTAGAGGTATAGATACGCTGTGCATCTTTATAGGGGTCTGCTGGTTTTTGCATAATCTGGCAGACACAGATGATACTTCATTTGAATAAATCCTCGAAGATGAAGAGGAAATCCCTTGCAGTAATGGTTTGTCATCGATTAATATCTTTCGAGACCTCCTATTCAAATGCCATAAAAAGGTCGGTGATAAAATTACGTATAGATTTGCACTGAACTTGTTTTGCAATCTCCAACATCAAACTATAAGTTTGAATTATTACACGAGATGCCGTTGACTTTTCCTCCAACCCCAAGTATTTATTTGGGGCTGAGGAACTGACCACGCCCATTTTTTTTAATATTTTGACAGATAAATGAAATGTCGTTCGTTGGCAATGGAATCAGATGAAAGCGGCTGAACCGATTTGGATAAATTTTTAAAAATGTTCTCCTCTATGTCTGGTTATACTTAACATGCCTACTATTTGGCTTATAGTGTTTTAATTGACAGTATTTCTAAAAACTTAACAAAATTATAAGTTTTTTTTAACAAAGATACCATTAAAATTGAAAAAAAGTTTGTCAAACAATTGTATTGACTAACCTATGATATGTTTTAAAAATCTCTCTCGCATCGTGATGCTTCGAATATGACAGAACAGTTTAGGTCACAGAACTCGCAATGCTTCAAGTTAATTATATTTCCGGTCAAATCAAACCAAGGAGCAACCCCAATAGCGAAATGTGCGAATTGCATTTTTTTTTCATCAGCAAATACGATTACTGTTTTTGACAATTATCTTCCCATCGAAACCAATTGATTTGTACAGCAAATACAAAGACGCCATGTACGATGATATTTTGCATCAGATGCGTATTGCAACATCGAATCCAAATTTACAATGAGGCTTTGATATGAATCGAGGACATGTGCTTGATTGAAATGTGTTTCGAACAACACATTATCTGGCAACTCCCAATCACCTGATGCACAACGCATTCAACAAAGAGTTGCAACGCGAACAGCAATATGATTGCGATGCCTTAAGAAAATTAGATCGATCGAACGTTCCTCGTTTAAATCGACCACAAAAGTATGCGTATAATAGTATGATGAAAGTTTTGAACTATGAAACTGAAGGGATTTTTTGACGCTTGCGATGGAACTGGGAAAAACTTTTTTGCTCGCGATAATTTTGGCAACGTTACGCTCGCAGAATGATATTACAGTTGCACTTCCTTCATCAGGAATTGCAACTACCTTTCTGGAAGGTGATCTAACAGCTCACTTAAGTTGCAATTGAATATGCAAATCAATGAGAATCCAACATGCAACATTTCCAGGAAGAGTGCGATGGCCAAAGTTCTGCAACAAAGCAAACTGATCGTATGCGATGAGTGCACAATGGTTTATGAAACAATCAAAATCTATTCGGAGGGGCGATGATTTTGTTGGCAGGTGATTTTCGCCTAACATTGCCAGTGATCCCACGGCTAACTCCAGCCAATGAAACATTGATGTCGACGAATGTAATTTTACGATTCAATCTGAAATCGCTGTCGAATCAGTTGATTCTGTAACTTCCGAAGATGATGTCATGAACTATCCAGCAGAGATTGAAACTCGCTGGAATTACCATATCGCAATATTAAGAAACATAAACCCAACCAAACGTCTTTGTGATGGTACCCAACTTGCAGTAAAAGAGTTGATGAATAATGTCAGCGAAGCAAAAATACTTAAAAGAAAGCTGAAAGTTAAAGACGTTTTGATACCGCGTATACCAAAATTCCGACCGGCATGCCATTTGATTTCAAACGCTTGCAATTTCCCGTAAATTTTAAAGGCAGTCATTGTGTGTTTGCGGAATTAATCTAGAAAATTGTCAACTGTATGTTACTGTTCCCGTGCTGTTACTTCATCTGCCTTATTTGTTTTCGATAACAGATAACAGAACAAAAAATATTGTGTATCATAGAGCACTAAAATGAACGAAAATATGCTAAGCAATCGAAGAAATAATTCTTTTTTAATTGGTTGCCCGATCAGATATTTTAATCTAAAAACAGCATACGATACATTGGACTTTTTAAAATATAATGCAAATCAATCTTTAAAGATTGCTATTCAAAAAATAAATAAGTACATAAATAATGAATTATATACATTTGCAATTCTGTGTCTTTGAGACAAATGTATGGAAAGGTTTACAATTGTTATACAAGCCACACACGATACAACTGGTTGTGCAACTTGGAGAGGTTGTATTCAAGATTGTATCGTTTTTGGGGCGGTTGTACGAAGTTGTGTCTCGGTTGTATGAAAAATCTAAATTTTTTGATATTTGGCATGTTGTACCATCCGATTGTAACGTTTGTGGGTATGTCACATACAATTTCATTTTCTGCTTTTTTTCGTTGAGACAACACCATTTTAGGGCGTATCAAAACAACACCAAAATGGAATACTCCGCACAAATGCGTGATTTTATTGAATGTTATAAAAGTATGCCGGAATTATGGAATTGCAAAAATTAAAATTATAAAAAAAAACATGCGAAATAAAAGCTATGATAAATTGTCAATTGAATATAAAAAAATAAACAAGTAAAAAAACATTAAGTTCGGCCGGGCCAAACTTTTAATACCCTCCATCTTAGGGTAAAAGAAACATTATAAGGAATGTGGCAAAAACCATTGAAATGCCGAATATCGGGAGGTACCGTTATATGGGGGCTACACCAAAACGTGGACCTATAATTACAATGTTCCGCCACACGAACTAGGACCCATTATGACCAACAAATACCAATTTTTAGACAAATCCGTGAAAAAATGTGGCAAAAACCATCAAAATACCGAATATCGGGAGGTACCGTTATATGGGGGCTATACCAAATCATGGACCCATACATGCAATGTTTCGCCACCGGAGCTGGAAACTATTATGACCCACAAATACCAATTTTTAGAAAAATCCGTGAATAAATGTGGCAAAAAAACTAAAATACCGAATATCGGGAGGTACCGTTATATGGGGACTATACCAGAACGTGGACCGATATATCTCTTTTTCAATACCAACCATCCTAGACACAATGCAAATAGCTCTGCTAAATTTTGGCGCTCTACGTCAGCTACGTCAGAATCGTCACTCAAAATAAACGGGGTCGAGCTGCTAGAATGTGGCGTGGAAGATCCATTCCATACATTTTTTGACTTTCGCTTGGCAGTACTGACGTCCGTATATATTGAACCGAATTGTCGCTAAAAATCAGCGGGGTCGAGCTGTTGGAGTTTGGAGTGGAAGATCCATTGAAACTGCTTTGCAGTGTATTATAGGTCAATTGATTTAATCGTCCCGTCATCAAAATTGCATCAATGGCTTTTTTTGCAAATAATTTTATCAATGGCTCTTTT